ATTGAATAATATTAAGAGTAGTCACTGGAATGAAGAGGGGGTCGGTTGCTTATAAAACTCTTTAGAAAACGCTAAACTCACCTCCGCCCAACTCTTTGGGGGCTCTTATTGTTTTTTTCAGAAATCAAATCCCTAATAGTTGATTTCAGGTTGTCTCGACGTTTTACATGATCTAGAAAATGAAAATAGATCCCCCGTTTTTGTTCATATAATTGATTAAATAAAAAAATTCCCACGTATTATTAGAAAAATTGGAGATATTTCGACAGAACTTCCCTCGTCTCGACTTTTGGCTTGAATTTTTCAATTCTTCAATTTTTCATTTTTTTCAAGTTTAAAATTTTCAATTTTCCAACTTCTGATTTTTTCAATTTTTATATTTTGTAATTTTTCGGTTTTTTATTTTTGTTATTTTTTCATTTATTCAATTTTAATTGTTTCACTTTCTCGTTTCTTCAATTTTTCGATATGCAATTTTTCAACTTTTAATTTTTGTTTTTTCATTTTTAAGATATGCGACTTTTGCAGTTTTCATTTGAAATTTTTCAGTTTTCAGATTTTGCAATTTTTGTATTTTCAATTTCTCGAGTTTTCAATTTTTAATTTCTCACTTTTCGGATTTTTCAATTCTTCGTTTATTCAATTTTTCGATTAGCAATTTTTCAACTTTTAATTTTCTGTTTGTACTTGCTAAGATAAGACTGATTTTGGCAAATCACATACCTTCTAAAAAAGAGAGGGTGGGTGGGCGGGGTTAGTACTTTAAAACCCATTTACTATATTTAATTTTGAAGTGACGTTATCACATTATTGGTGGGAATGATGAGACAAATTTTGGGTTAGCGTTTCTATCCAAGTGAAAAATTCACCAAGGATTACGAATTTGTAATTCCATTTGTCATGTTTCGTAAATTATATGTAGAAGAGAATAAAATAAGATTTTCACAAATTTTCCAAAAAATCATAAAATTGTGCATATTTAAGCAAAAAATGATGGTATACCAAATTGACCCTAAATTCAGAGTATGAAGTTGTTTTAGGACACCTCTTTAAGTCTTTAATTAACTGAAAGAGTTCGATTTTAATTTTCAAAAAATTTTCAAAAAAAAAACGTAAATGTGCTATTTGAAAGGAAAAATGTCAGTCTATAGACACTTTTCCACGGATTACGAATCTGAATACTACACCTCTTAAATAACCGAAAAAACGATATTTCGATTTCCAAAAATTTTCCAAAAAATGATGAAGTCGGGAAATGATAATATTTTATAGAAAACTGATGCTAGATTAGAGATTACAAATCTGCAGTATTATCGGCTTCTTCAAATAATAATAATCGATAAAATTGAAGATTAAATTTCCAAAATTTTTCACAAAAAGCAGTGAACGAGCAGAAAAAAGTGGTAGTGGAAAAAGATTTTTCCGCAAAGTACGAATCCGAAATCATATTTACAATGTCTTTTCAAATAATCGACAAAAATAAGACTTTAATTTCTCAAAATTTCTAAAAAAATGTGAAAGTGACTGTATTCAAATGACAAATTGACTGCGTTACCTTATAGAATTTGTTTAGCGCCCTTCGATACCTGTTAAATAACCGAAAAAATTAGAGTGAATTTATTGATTTAAATTAAAAAAAAAATCCAAAAAATGGGGAATTTGGGTATTTTCAAGGTAAAAATGATGAATTTTACTGAAAATGCCGCTTTAATTAACTGAAAAAGATGCGATTTAAATTTCCAAATTAAAAAAAAAAGACGAAAGTGGCTCTAGTCGAGTAGAAAAAAAAAGTGTCTACAATATCTCTTCAAATAACCCAAAAAATATGATTTTAATTTCCAAAAAATTAAATTTTATTTTTCTTAATATGTATATAGTCTCCTTTTAACAACACAATATTTAAAGTGTTGGCATCCCGAAATTGTGTCTTAATAATTTAAAATAGATTTCGTGGACCTCGAGATTATTGTGAGATTTTAAAATTGACACACGTGACCCTCGAGATTCCTTCATAATCGTCTTAAAAAAGATACTCGGGACTCGTTCTAGGTTATGACTCTGTAGCCTTTTTGCGATACCTCTTAAATAACCGAAAAGATAGTAATTAAATTTCCAAAAATTCGAGCGGGAAAAGGAATTATATTTCTGAAAATTAACCCAATATCTTCAACCGCCCTTTTTACAATATCTCTTGAATTGCTTCATGTATTGGGGTATAACCGTACCGATCTCTTACGTTAACATCAATTCTTTTATCAAGTAAAAGTTTTGTTATTCTTGGTGAACATGCAGCTGCACCATGTAGGTAAGTCTGGTACCAATCTTTTGCCTCTAATGATACCCCTTTTTCGAGTAACTTCAACGCATAGTAATCATCAATTTTGTTATTGCTAGTGAGTGCACACGCTAACGCCGTTTGACATCTCATGTTGCGAAACTCTAAATCATCTTCATCTTGGAATTGCAGCAAATAGTCGAATATTTCTCTCCTGGAATTAAGTTGTGTTAAAATTTGTGTATAGATGAAGGTTGGTTTATTTACCGATTGTGTAGCATAGCCTCCTGAAGCAATGTGAAACCATCTTCGTTTTTTATTCGGTTTAACACTTTTGTATACATATTTTTTAATTCATCAATATTATTGTCTTTGATCGCCGTTGTTAAATCTTCGACGACACAACAATTGTCAACGAATAGAGACGGAGTATGGTTCATTTTATTGAACACACGAAAATAACTATTAGCAATGACAATGGTAATATTTGATCAGACTGATCACTTCATATGCGAAGTAGAGACTTAATAACATGTTCTGGGTGTAGAATGCGCAACAACTTTTTTTTTTATTTTTATATGTCACTTGGAAAGTGAAGTCTATTTTTGTATTATATATATCCAGCTTATTTTTTAAAAAAAGATTAACCCTGTATGAGCAGAACACCGAAGTGCAAATTTTTGTAAGATATATGGCTATTTTTTTTTGTATTAGATTGGATTGGATTAGATTTATCGGTGATTAAGTGTAAACGTATCAATATTAGATGTTCGTCACAAAAAAATTATATACAATATATATGCGCAACAACTAAGGACAAAATATGTAACACGATTGATTATCTAGTCAGTCAAGAGTACAAACTTTTTGTATTGCAAATTATATTGTAGCGCCTGAAGGAGGGAGTTGATTGGTTAGGCAACTTGATGTGAACAGTGGTATATAAAGTTGCCACACAAAACTTCTTTGGGGAATTTACTCATTCGCATAAATGACATGAATGGGTTAACCCTCGGATGCCCAAGCTATTTTTTTTTACATAGACACTCAAGGTGGGTCAAATTTGACCCGTCCTAATTTTGCTTTAGATTTTATTATTTCAAGTTTTAATTGCCTATTTATTATGTTTTAATGAAAATAAAGTCACAAAACAAATATTTTTATCATTAACATCAATAAAAAAATATGTGTTTATAAAAAACAACAGTTAAAATTTGTGTCTTTTCTTAACAGACGGTTTAATAGATATCACATGCTAGATGCAATGGGAATAAATTTTGTATAATACATCACCATTCCAAGAAAACGTTGAAGTTCTTCTAAAGAGTTCGGCCTTGGTGCTTCTATGATCGCTTTGATTTTATCTTCAGATTTTTCGAATCCTTTTTCTGAAATGACATGACCCAAATATTGAATTCTCTTCTTGAAAAATTGACATTTTTCTCGATTCAGATGCAGATTATATTTACGTAATCGTTCAAGAACTTTGATTAAACGAAATTTACATTCTTCAATAGAAGAACCTTGAACCATTATATCATCAAAATACGCTGTGGTACCTTCTAAATCCTGAACAATTTGATCGATGACTTTATGAAATTCATTTGGAGCCGTTTTGATTCCAATGAAGAGTCGTTTAGCTAAATAGGTACCTCGATGGGTTGAAATTCTTTGTATTCGTGCACTTTCATCATCAACAGGAACATGTAAATATGCTTTGAAGACGTCTAATGTACAGAAATATTTGCCATTTTTGATTTTATTGAAAATATCTTCTATTCTGGGAATCGGATAACGATTATCTTGAAGTTGATTGTTGATAGTTACTTTGTAATCAGCACACAGTCTAATGCCACCATTCTTCTTCGGTACAATAACCAAAGGTCTTTCCCGCTCGGAGTGATCAATTTTCTTAATAATTCCTTGATTTTCTAAGTCATCTAATTCCTGTTCAAATTTTTCTTGGAGAGCGTAAGGAACTCGGCGAAGCTTTATAAAAATTGGTTGTGCATTAGCTCGAAGAGATAAAGAGCACTGAAAGTTTGGAATTTCACCAACTTTTGGTTGAAAAACGTCGCTGAATTGATTGAAAATTTCTGATATTGATGGTTGACAAGTAGAAATAGAATAAAAGTCATGAAGACTTATCTGTAGGTTCCGAATCCATTTTCCCATAATGGCTGTACCATAATCAGAAACGACAAATACATCTGCTATGATCTTCTTCTTTTTATATGTAACAGGTATTCGTATGTAGGGGAAACCAGCCTATGATGGCATGGTGCTTGTGATGGCATACCCTCAAATTTTTTGGACCATTTGAATTTCGCGGTCAAATCACCTGTTCAAGATGCTGTCTTTACTTGGACATGAATGTCTATAAAGCAGGCAGAAAAATAAATGAAATATTGTTGACTCTCCAAGTAAGTTTTACACATTAATCAAGTTGAAATCATGTTCTTAATATCTTTAACTCAGGGGCACCAATTTAATTCATGTTTTCTATACATGTGACACATGTGATACAGGTGCCGATTTAGGGTTGTTGTAAATGAAAAAATACAGAGATTGATTTTAATAAAACCTCGAATTTCCCTATGATGGCATACCAAAGCTTTTCCTTTGATGACATAGTATGCCATCATAGGTATAAGGTTTTGACTCTCATAAAAACTGAGAAGTCTTTTTTTATGACAGAGGAATGTCACTTGCAGCCTCAAGTAGAATGTCCAGTAAGGCTAAGAGGCAATTATGGGAGGAAAAAAACATGGCAGAGGCTTTGCGAAATGTTCGGGAAAAAAAGATGGGATGGCAATTAGCGTCCAAAATCTTCAATGTCCCTGCTACCACACTGCGCAGAAGATTTAAAAACAATTGTAACAGTACCAAAGGAGATTTCGGGGGTAAAAGACCAGTATTCAGTCGGGAGATGGAAGATCAATTTGCTCAACATATAAAGGATATGGAAGCTAAATTTTTCGGTTTCATATTAAAGGATTTAAAGAAGTTAATTTTCGAATTTGCATCAAAAAATAATATAATAAACCCGTTTAACAAAGAAAAAGAAACAGCTGGTGATAAATGGATTCAGGGATTTTTAAAACGAAATCCACAGATATTTCTCAGAAGGCCTGAAAACACCTCAGCTGCTCGGGCACAAGCCTTCAATAAAAATTATATCGCTTTATATTTTAAATCTCTGAACGAGGTTATGGAAAAATATAACTTTCCACCAGAAAATATTTACAACATTGACGAATCTGGTCTCAGTATAGTACAAAAACTACCACAAAAAATTCTAACCACTAAAAGACGAAAGCAAGTTGGAGCGCTGTCTAGTGCTGAACGACGACAGCATTTAACTGTGGTATGCTGTATGAATGCCATGGGCACGTTTGTGCCACCAGACTTTATATTTCCACGAAAAAGAATGAAAAATGAGCTGATGGAGAACGCTCCAATGGGCAGCAAAGCCTATTGTCAACTAAACGGTTGAATGTGTTCAAAGATTTTTGTACAATGGTTGGAACATTTTGTACATTACACTAAAGCTTCGAATGAAAACAAGGTTTTACTCTTATTGGACGGCCACAGCAGCCACAAAAGCCTAGAAGTGCTACAATACGCGAAAGATAATGGTGTGATACTATTCTGTTTTCCCGCACATTGTTACCCACCGGCTACAGCCCCTGAATGTAGTTTTTTTTTTCACATCTCCAAACTTATTACGGCCAAGAAATTCAGACTTGACTTAAACAACATCCTGGTAGAATCGTCACACATTTGCAAGTAGCTGGTCTTTTCAATAAAGCGTATTTGAAGGCTGCTACACTCGCAAATTATGCAGTACACGCGTTTGCCAAAACAGGAATATATCCCTTCGATGAAAACATCTTTCCTGATTGGATGTTCCAACCCTCTTCCACAACCGATGGACCGTTAACCGAACATGACCAATGCCAAAATGGTCAAAAACAACCACAACACGGAGACGTAGACGTTGAACTGCCTAAATTAGGCTCTGGAACACCAGAAGCTACTGAAGTTGAACCTTCAACATCAGGATTTGCCAAAACTAAGTCCACGACAGAAAGATTTCCGTCAACGAGGAAATGAAGATGTTATAGTATTCATGAGCTACATCCATTGCCGCAAGCTTCACTTGGAGCTTCAAGGAAAAGATTAAGAAAACCTAGTAAAAAAGGACATATAAATTCCACCCCAGACATTGATGAATTAAAAAAGGAAGTAGAAGAAAAAACAACAAAGGAGAGGAAAAAGTTATAAAGAAAAGCAAAAAGGAAAATTTTGGTTGAAGAAGAAACGGATTATGTCAGTGATAATGAAAAGGTCGAAGACATTAATGACGATGAAGCTGATGTTGCATGTTTATATTGCAATGATATATTCTCTAGGTCGAAAATAAGAGAAATGTGGATTTCATGTCAGAGTTGTGGTTCCTGGTGCCACAGTGAGTGCGCGGGTGTTGAAAAAAGAATCAAGCAATTCATCTGCGAACTTTGTGAATAACTTTTTTTGTTAAGTTTTGCCTTAATGTTTCGTTATTTGATGATTTCTATTTAGTTTATTCGTTTGTTGATTCGTTTTGCTACAAATTGTAGTCCTTTATCTTAAATCTATTATACTAAGTACTTTCATAATAACCCGTCAATTCTTAATAAAAATTAACATTACTTAACAAAAAACTCTACAAATTCGGTTGTACCATCATAAGAAGAGTACTGCCTATGATGGCACACTTCATGGTTTTTGGTTCTAATTTTTTTTCAAAATAAATATTGAATATATTGAAAATTTGATGAATTAATATCAATTTCAATATAATTGCTCGTTTAAATTACCCACAAAAAAATCCCTAATGTCATAGATGAGCTTATAATAAGGTGTCAAAGTTAAGTATGCTATCATAGGCTGGTTTCCCCTAAGCCAGAGGTTTAAATATTTGTTTTGTATAGGAACGAAATTGAATGATTGTACTTCGAAGAGTCACTTTAAGATTCAATGCGTCGAAGATTTTCTTTAAAATGATGCTGACTGGACTGCCGGTATCACACTCAAATTTAACTGGTTTGCCAAGAATTTGTACTGTAATGAACATTCTTGGTTCATAAGCTGACGAAGAAGTATTGAAGATGTCGATAATATTATTTATTTGAAATTCTTCATCAACTGAGGAATTTGAACCAATGTCGACGTTTTTGACAGTTTGTCGATTTTTTTGAAGTAATGTAGAAATACATACTTTATTTGTGTGCTCTTTTTTCGACAGAAATTACAGTGAAGTTTTTCTTTGATGCGACAGTTGTCAGTTTGATGATTCTTTTCTCCACAATGTAAGCATAATCCGGATAGACCCAATTCTTGTAGATTTATGCTTCGACCTGTTAGTTTTGAAGATCTTTGACGTGAAGATCTATTTTGATTATATTTTCATGCTGGTTGACCTTTAGTAAAACCAATTTTACGAACATTATTTGACCCATGTTTTGAGTTGTTATAAACTTCTCGATTTTGAATTCTTGAAGCTTCGATTGCAAATGCTGCTTCTAATGCTTTATCAAAGGATACGTTTCCTAATTGAAGAATTCTTTCTCTAATGCTGGAATCTTGATTTTTTCGATTAAACACGTTGGACGGGCGATGTGTTTCGTTGAGTTACTAGTGTTTTCTATTAGTTTAATTCGCTGGTTTGAGCCTCAATTTTATACAGGAGGTGTTTTTGACATTTACATTCCTATTAGGGTAAGCCATTTGCTTTATCATTAGTTTTTAATATTGTTTATCACCATAACCTCTGTTTCAGGTTCAGAGGTTTTATTTACTTTTTACTTGCGATTTTTCTGCACTCTTTTTTGTTAAAGTTCTTAATCGAACGATAAAGAAGTGTTCCCCTCTAGGGGGGGCAGTGTATTTCTAGCTCTGTTATTTACTTCTTTTATCATTGAATAAAACTAACTTGAAAATGGCTATTAAATGCGGCAAATATAACCGCACAATTAGTCGGTATGAGGCTTATATTGCTTGCACCAGAAGTTGTCATTCGAATTATCATTTAACTTGTGTAGGTTTAGATGATGAGTCACTCGATAAATTACAACAGGACGAAAAACTTTCATCGTGGAGTTGCAGTTTTTGTGAAATACCTAAGTAAGACTTCTATGCCTCTTGGCGCTGCTTATCAGTCTGTCATACCATTTTCGCAGAATGTTAATCTGTCTGTTGCAGAATTTATGCTTTTAATTGAAGATGTTATTAAAATTCACACCAAACCTTTAGCTGATCAAATTGGAGAACTAACTACAGAAATTCAGATATTATCTAAAGAGAATTCTCAGTTACGTACAGAAGTTATTAAGCTACAGAAAAATTTGCAACCACGTGATCTTTTAGGAAAGGGATTGAGTCAAGATGAAATAAATGCCAAAACTTCATATCCACACACTCTAGTAAAAAATTCACAAAGTACAATCATTATTAAACCAAAGGATAAGAATCAGTCCATGTCTAAAACTAAAGCTGATATTATCACTAGCGTCAATCCATTAGCATCTTCTTTAAACATTGGTAAAGTAAAAAATCTGAAAGACGGTGGTGTATTACTTGGTTGCGATAATATTGGTAAGCTTAAAGAAATTGCAAAGGATAAGCTGTCTAATGATTATGACATTCAAGCAACTAAACCATTACGTCCTAAAATTATAATTTCAGGCTTCTCAGAGCACATCCAAGAGGACAATCTACTAACCTATCTTAAAAATGAAAACGAGTTCATTTTTGGCGAAAGCTCTGAATGTACCTAAGCTTTTAAAAATCCATTCGACTAAGAAAAATGTAAAAATCTTCCAAGCATTAATTGAACTTGATCTTTCTTCTTACAAAAAAGCTCTAAGTATTGGTCATTGTCTTATTGGATTAGATCCCTGCTCAATCTTTTGTGCTCTTGAAGCTCCGCGGTGTTGTGTTAAAGACTGCAATGCTAATAAACTTTGTTGTGTCAACTGCGTAAATCTGAAGTCAAAAACCAATCAAGAAGACATAAATACTGAACATGCAGCATGGGACAACAACTGTTACGTATATCAATACAGTGTTGATAAACTGAAACATGACGTGTTTGGCACTAGCATTATAGCAATCAATGATCTTTCTCCTCATAATTTTTCTTCCGAAATAACGTTTAGTATCTACTGTCAAAATGTACGCGGTTTGAGGACTAAAGTTCACAGCTTTTATCCTGCTGCTACTGTTTATGAGTTTGATTGCATCGGTTTGTCCGAAACTTGGCTGTCTAACGAGGTTTGTAATTGTGAATATTTCGATAATAATTATGTCGTTTTTCGTTGTGATAGGAAATGTTTACTAATCCACAAACAACGTGGAGGAGGTGTATTTCTTGCTTTAAAAAGCAAACTGAATCCAGAAATGCTTAATTTAAATGAAATCATCAATGTCATACCTTCTATTGATATTGTTGGCTGTAAAGTCAGACTAGGTCCTCGAATGGTTCTTTATATTATAATCGTTTATATACCGCCAAATTTTTTTTTATCTGATTTCGAATATTTCTTTGAACTTCTGGATCTTTATATTATTGACAAAAAACAAATCTTAATAATGGGTGACTTCAATATTTCACATTGAAATAATTTAAGTATAAACGACTCAAAATCTAAATTAATCAATAATTTCTTATCCTACAATGGCCTCAACCAGTGTAATCTTATATCTAATTCAAATAATCACATATTAGATTTAGTTATATCTAATGTCCTCTGTAAAGTTGTCCATATGATCATCTATTAGTCCCTGAAGATTTCCACCATCCGACTCTAAATATTGATATGAATTTTAAAGTCCCTATAAGTCTCGTAATTTTCCAGTAAATGTGGAGTATAAGGTATATAATTTTAAAAAGGCAAACTTTACGGCATTGTATAACGTCCTTTTAAGTAGAAGTAGATTGGTCAAGCTTACAGAATTTCACAAATGTCAGTGATGCTTGTTCTCATTTTTATTCAATCTTGTACTCGTTGTTTGATGAATATGTTCCTATTTTTAAGATTCAAAAGTCTTCTAGAAAATATCCAAGCTGGTACAGCATTGAAATAATTAAGAATATTAAGCTAAAACATAAATATCTACAGCAATTCAAAAAAACAGGTAATGTAGAGCAGCTGAATAAATTTAAACGTTTGCGGTCTTTAATTAAGTCTCAAGTATTTCTTGCATACAAGTTATATCTTGACACAGTCCAGGTTAAGTTAAAAACTGATCCAAAATATTTTTGGAAATATGTCAACGACAAAAAAAATGTAACAAGAATTCCAGCTGTTACGTACTAGGACAATAATACTTACTCTACCCCAGAATCAATAGTTAACGGATTTGCTACATATTTTAGTAGTGTTTTTACTACTAGCAATAATTCGACGGATCGTATTGACACAGCCTCCTTTCTTAATGTTACTACTCGTATAATGAATATTTCTGAAAATGATATTAAAAATGCTATAAAAAAATTGAAAAACAAATTAACCGCTGGTGACGATCACATACCTAGTTTTTTTTGTTAAAGATTGTTCTTCTTTGCTTGTTCAACCACTGAAAATATTATTTAATTTATCTATTTCGACTTCTACCTTTTCCGAGGTATAGAAAATTGCACGTGTATGTCCTGCCCCAAAAGGTGGCGATGCATCTTTATTTACTAATTATAGACCAATTTCTGTGCTCTCTAATTTTTCTAAAGTCCTCGAAATGACTATTTACTCACATACTCTATACTTCTTGTCGTCTTTATATCTCTAGTTTTCAACACGGATTCATGGAGCAACGTTCTACTGTCTCTAATCTTACTTGTTTTACACAACATATTGCTGATGTCCTTGATGATCAGGGGCAAGTGGACGTTATTTATACGGATTTTTCGAAGGCGTTCTACAAAATTGATCACACTATCATTTTGAATAAACTTATTTTATTTGGATTTAACTGTCCCTTAGTGAATTTTTTTAAGTCTTACTTAAACAGTAGATCTCAATATGTGACCTATAATGGATTCAAATCGTGGTCCTACATATCGACATCGGGTGTTCCTCAGGGCTCCAACCTAGGACCGTTATTATTCTTACATTTTATCAATGATATTGTTAATATAATTGATTGTGGAAAGCTCTTATTTGCTGATGACTTAAAAATATTCACTAGGATCTATACACAGGAGGATTGTGGTCATCTGCAGAACAGTGTCAATGAAATACATGCTTGGTGTGAGGTAAATAAACCCCCTTTGAACTATTTTAAATGCAAAATAATGTCATATTCAAAGAAAAAATATCCCATATTATTTGCGTACAGCTGTAACTTTCTTCCACTTAATAGAATTTCAACAATAAAAGATCTTGGTATAACTTTTGATAACCAACATAATTTTAACGATCATGTAAGCAGTATCATAAATGTGTCAATGAAGTGTTTGGGATTTATAATCAGGAACACCAGTACCTTTAGAAATCCATTAGTATTAAAAACTCTGTAGTACTCTTACGTTAGGTCTAGATTGGAATATTGCAGTGTAGTATGGCTTCCCTATTATTTTTGTTACAAGATTAGGTTGGAAAACATTCAGAGAAGATTTCTTAAGTTTTTATATTTCAGAATATTTGATGTTTATCCCGGCAGGGGTTTTAATCATAGTGTATTATTAGAGACTCTTAATGTCGACTCTTTAGAATTTAGGCGGATACATTATAGTCTAAAATTATTGTACTCTATATTTCGGAACAAATTTGATTGCAGTCACTTATTATCCCTCTTCAATATCTTGATTCCTCGATTAAATTCCAGACAAACCTTAACGTTTTATTTACGTAAACCCAATACAAATATACTTGTTAAATCACCCGTGTTTAATATGGCTTCTCATTTCAATTCTATATCTCACCTGTGTGATATAAACACATCATCACTCCGTGAAATGATTTGCGCACTTAGATCGATCTATGTTTTGTAAGTAGTTTATTATAGGTACAGAGTGTCATAATTATTTAGTCTATTATATTATATTCTGTTTATTTATTTAATTGTAAATTGTCCTGTAATTGGATTGGATCTATAGGGCAATAAAGATTTATTTATTTATCTTGTAGTCCTCGGATAAACTGAGCTCGTAATAACATGTCGATCACATTTCGAACAAGTAAAACAAGGAGGTTCTTTTTCTTTACATTCCGTTTTGAATTCACAATTTTTAATTAATCTTTCAATCCTGCAACGAATGTAGAAATTGATTCACCTGGTTGTTGAACTCTTGAAAAGAATTTATGTTGTTCAGCTAAAACATTTTTCTTCGGTGCAAGATGATTTATTAGAAGATCCATTAATTCTTGGTAGGTTTTTGTAGCTGGTAGTTCTGGAGAGGTCAAACTTAGAAGTAATTTGTAATGTCTACTGCCCAAACAATTTATTAATACCATAACTTTGGCATCACTAGTTTCTTTTTCGTTTTTATGTAAACCTCTTAATTTGAAAACATTTTCGAATCTTTGACTGCAACTCTCAAAATTTTCAACGCTTTATATGCAAAGTTTCTGTAATAAAGCGTCTTTAATTTGTAATATTATTGTATTGTATTCAATAATAAAGATGAAAATTATTTTTGGTCAATATCGAACCCGTACATGTCATAATATGTGGTGTTCTAACTCCTCTAGTATATTGTAAGAGTTGACCTAGTTGTTTTCTAATGTTATTACACTTATTAATTTTGTAATTTAATCTTATTTCCCAATATGGAGCAGAGTAGATATGTTTGGTGTTCGCATTGATTATGTCTTTGCAAGTGTTAATTTGTCAAAAAATTTGCAATGTAGTTATCTATTCCAAAACTATAGCCAAAATTTTCTTTAACAGAAAATTAAGAAGTCAGACTGGAAGTCCTAGTCTGACTTCCAGTTCCCTGAACGAAAACGCTCCCCATATAAATAAAAATGTATTAATAATAAACAAAGAATACATAATTATAAAACTGAAAAATATAAGCACAAACGTCAGTCTAGAACGACCCATTGTATTGCACAAACATCTCCACCCTCGGCAACCGTCATGGCAACAACCTGTGATAATGTGCCTTTTTACTGCTCTCGATAACGTAGAACGAGTGCAATTTCCCGTTTCCGGGGAAATACTTCATAAACGAAGCCTTCTTGGGTTTCACAGGCACGTAATAGGTAGGTTTCGTCGCTTTCCTCTCCTTCTCTGGCTTGTCGAACACCTCGTTCTGAAAATCTATATCGTTAGGGATGTTGGTGTCGGTCGTTCGCGATTTGTGCTTGGCGGAGACGATCTTCTTAATCACCGGAATGTTCCAGTGATAGACTTTGGCGGGCTTGCCGTTGCTCGTAAAATCGACGGGGATGTTCTTGCGCGGAATGGCGAAGGAATTGGGGGCGTAGTGGGCGTAGTAATGGGGGTTGGGCGGCAGCTTGATCACGTACATGTGCGAGTCGTCGGAGCGGGTGTGGTGGCGGGACTCCACCGCCAACCGCTTTCGGTGGTGGGTGTTGGGGGCCTTGATGCGCTTGAAGCCGAGTTTCGTGAAGAGCTCGTGCTTCTTGCGGGCGGGCGTCGAGTCGGTGGCGGTGATGGCGGTGGTGAGGAGAAGCAAGAACATCAAGTAGCTGTAAAGAAATAAAACGTCAGTTTTTTTACGATTTATTTTTAATTCATCTTGAATCAACACGTTGTTTTTACTAACCACCAGATGATGCTATATTATTTACGAATCCTGTGAATCACAGTTTTCGAATCCATCAGGTGACGGCATCGACAATAATTTAATTATTCGCTAGTTTTAGCTAAATTAGAAGTTTGTTTTCAATTTTTATTGATATTATCAAAGTTAATACACCCTAAGAATTTCGGATAAATTAATTGTACCCTTTATAAAGTAATAATAGAAAAAAAGGAGACCCTGCCTTTTGAGCCCTGGACCTTTTATATGTAAAGTGAAGCTGAATCTCATACCTAAGTTATAACAATTTTACTGTCTAGGTTGGAGTACTGATAACAGCACAATCCTACAAGAGGAGTTTCAAATGAAAATTTGGTGAATCGTTATGCTTTGGATTTGGTTGAAGTACGCATAAATAGGTCAAGGGCCAAGTTTTTAAGAAAAGTTGGTGCAAGGTAGAATTGACACATCTTATTTATTGTCTTGCTTTCTAATAGTCGACATCACATAATATTTAGGGCATTACATTATAGGAAAAACTTGGGGTTGTATTCTCCAATGAATAGTATGAAGAGAATAATCAATCTTATGAGCTCATATTGTGACACCAATAATGACACAATCACCAAGATAATGGGAATGGTGAATGGAACCCTATATTATATGAACAGGAATTGGGATAAGAATCAAAATCGGATCATTTATTACTATTATTGATTATATGATATTGATTTTGTTATTTATTATTTAATTGTTAATTATTACATTACATAGATGGAAAATTATCATGTCAATAGTGGATAATTAACTTTTTTATTACTGCTGGTACAACAAGAGAATAATAAAACTACAAACAAACAATCATTAAATCACTATTACATTACAGTGTCGGTTGTTGTATAAATTATAGGTATAGGTAATAATTATTATATTTTTTACAAAAATCAAAACGGATTCATAAACTACAAGTGTAGGAGAATGTTATTTTATAAAATTTAAATAAAAATTACTATGCAAGAATTTTGAGGTCCACACTTTGTTCCTAAATTAAGATAAGCTCCTAAATTGATGCTAATGGACCAAGAAATATATAAAATTTCTGATCCAGTTGAACACTAGATTTGCCTGTGAGTAACTCTAATTTTAATCGACAGGAAGCATGTGCACCTCGAATAGCTATTTATAACATGGCGACACATGCACCAATTAATTTTATTGGCAAAACAGGTTGACAACATAGTATGATGATACCGTGCAGAATTGCCGACTCCAGTCTTATAATCATAGCTTGCGCCAATTCATTTTTTCCAGGTCGTGCACTACATCATGCAGATGCATCCTGGAGTACTTAGATTTTAGAGGCAAAATGTACCTGCGACTTTAATTGGTTGCATGTATTCATACGATCGTCGATGTACGTTAATCTCAATCTGCCTTTCTCCCGGAGGTCGATTAGCCTGAATTATCATTTCAAACTAGTAGTGGCTTAAGTATTTGAAATTACGTTTTTTTTTGTTTGTAATTACACATGCTGTTAACTTATTTTCATTAAAGAAAGGTCTGAATAAAAAATAGCCATCTGACCTTCCTTGAAAAGTGACCATTTTAAATATTAAATTACATAAATAAATTCCAAACAAGCGGCGTCTAAATAAAATATATGGGCATAAATTAACATAAAACAGTACACACATTTAAAATTCATTTAAATACCGTTAAAATACTTACACACGTAAAATCAAAATCGACATAAAATGTGTGAAAAAGTGTCTGTCAGCTCACGAATTAAAATCGATTACCTTTTTTTACAGTTAAGAAACATCTAAATTTACAGTGTAAATAAATTTTGTTGCTGTAGGGAGACGCGGAAGTGAGAATAGCCGTGAAATTTCAAATTATACATGTCTAAGTTAAGTTACGGCTCAAAATTTACAAAGTGTATGGTCAAAATGAATTTGACAGAATTTTGTGTACCTTGAAGCACAAATGATAAAAACAACGGTATTGTGTTCTGAGAATTTCGAAATTAGATAACCCGTTTTTCATTGAATTAAATGGGAATTAAAAGAATGAGAAGAAACATGAAATAACTTCAAAAGAAATTAACTAGTTAGTGAAACAAGAAAGAATTTAGGACACAAAAATGCAGGAACATGCAAAAAAGTCAAAAAATCAATGCCAAAACGGTGAATCACACTAACTGCGACAACTAAACGTATGCTACAAATTTTTATGTGATGAATTATTCACAGTATTAATGACCATCATCGTCGTGTTTCGATTAAAGTACCTATAAATTTTAACTCCATCGCTTCAAGTAGGTATTAACTGTTAACTGGTTATGCAATTTTGGTGAAGCAAATTATGAGTACATAAATTACTATTTATCGTCAGTAAACTGGGAACTTGTTCTAAATGACTCTGACATCAAATCCTTGATGAACTCATTTTATAATTCATGAGATTATTGAAAATTCTCACGCAGAGCAATATAAGAAAGGTGGTTATCCTTCCGGTAGAATTTTCTAGAAGTAAGTTTTCTGCAACTTGAAAATCTATTTTATGAAACAATCCGAGGCGTGGTTTTTTAAGTACGATATTAAGATTTCAAAGAGCGAAGTGGGTGCTAAAAGAGGGTGCGAAGGGTAAACAGAGTAGAGTTCGTGATGGAAAACAACACGCAAATCATGAACTCTGCGGTCGATCTAAATGACATACATAAAGAAAATTTAGGTAGCACCAAGCGAACCACAGAGCGAGGAATTGGATAAAGTGGGGAACGCCAAACGATGTAGAGTATTGTAGAGATATAACTCTGTCCTTTACTTGATACATAATTTTAGTAACTCTTTTGAGGGGAAGTGTTTTGTGTTGCACCTATTTTGTAGAAACATATATTTTCCACTGCAGCATATCTTCAGTGTCACCTTGTGCGGCCTGTCCAGAAATGGTCTTTTACGTAACGTTCTATGGACAACAAAATTTTTCCCAGCATCCATTCAATGCCTTAAATTTAATTAATAAGGCTCGAATTATTATATACAAAATGCATATTCCTTAAATTAAGATTTGTCTAAATTCCAGGAATGATGTTATAGATGTTTCAAGGAATACTAAATGTTTGAAGGATAACCCAAATTTTACTAATATTTCTTACTTTCGACCGAACAAAAAACAATTAGATTTTTATCAACAAGTGAAGCTGGAACTGAATGATCGATTAAATAATGGAGAAAAAGATCTTGAGATAAGACACGTCAATGGTATACCAAAGATAGTATCTTTAAATTAGTTAGTTCTTCCAATTGCAGATTTCCCATCAGCTGCATATATCAAAATGTCGGAGGACTACGTTCCAAAACTATTGATTTCTTTCATTCAGTCTCATCGTTTAATTTTGATTTAATACTTCTCACGGAAATTTGGGTTACTAATGACATATCTACTTCAGAAATTTTTTCGAACAACTAGATATATAGTATTCAGAAAAGACAGAAACTTACAATGAAATAAAGAATACTTAATATAAAAAATATCTAAACTGTTAAATACACAACAGTTTTTGGCGACGAGTGATTAAAAAAACATGGCGGAAGATTTATCAGCATTAGTAACGGCCCTTAGTGGATTGGTTTCTACATAACAGAAACAACGAACACCGACTGCAAGTGTTCAAGAAGTTTTGCAGACCCAGGCTATAACTTTCGACGGATTTGATGAAAGCGTTGAAAATGTTGAGAGTTACAGTCAAAGACTCGAAAATTTTTCAAATTAAGAGGTTTGCATAAAAACTGGTGATGCCAAAGTTATGCTATTAATAAATTGTTTGGGCAGCAGACATTACAAATTACTTGCAAGTTTGACCCCTCCAGAACTACCAGCTACAAAAACCTACCAAGAATTAATGGATCTTCTCAGAAATCATCACCGAAGAAAAATGTTTTAGCTGAACAACATAAACTCTTTTCAAGAGTTCAACAACCAGGTGAATCAATTTCTACATTCGTTGCAGGATTGAAGGAATTATTAAAAAATAGTGAATTCAAAACGGAATGTAAAGAAAAAGAACCTCCTTCTTTTACTTATTCGAAATCAGTGATCTACATGTTATCACGAACTCAGTTTATCCGAGGACTACAAGATTCCAGCATTAGAGAAAGAATTCTTCACTTAATAAACGTCTCCTTTGATACAGCATTACAAACAGCATTGGCAATCGAAGCTTCAAGAATTCAAAATCGAGAATTTTATAACAACTCTTCACATGCGTCAAATAATGTACATAAAATTGGTTTTACTAAAGGACAGTCAGCATCAAAATATAGTCAAAATAGATCTTCACATCAAAAATCTTCAAAAATAACAGGTCGAAGCATAAATTTACAAAAATTGGGTCTATCCGGATTGTGCTTCCATTGTGGAAAAAAGAATCATCAAACTGACAATTGTCGCATTAAAGAAAAACTTCACTGTAATCTCTGTCGCAAAAAAGGGCACACAAATAAAGTACCTATGTATTTCTACATTACTTCAAAAAAATCGACAAACTGTCAAAAACGTCGACATCGGCTCAAATTCCTCCGTTGATGAAGAATTTCAAATAAATAATATTATCGACATCTTGAATACTTCTTCGTCAGCTTATGAACCAAGAATGTGCATTACAGTACAAATTCTTGGCAATTGAATTTTAAAGTGACTCTTCGAAGTACAAACATTCAATTTCGTTCCGAAACAAAACAAATATTTAACCCTCTGGGTTACATACGAATACCTGTGACATATAAAAAGAAGAAGTGTTAAACTCTCTTTGTTTTTCAAGTCAGACAATGTTAAGTTTTCTTTGGGTTTCTTTATTGAACAAAAAGGTGCCTTGTAACTAAAGAAACATTCCTGACAATTCACATACTAATAATAAAATGACGAACCCTCACAGACTTTGCTTTC